TATATACCTTATCGGTTTTTATAATACAATGTTATAATCCTTGTCATTATTTATTTTAAAAGATAATGTTTATCATTTATTTGCTTTCAAAAGATGAAAATTTTTTCATAGTTTAGGTCTCTTTTTATTTATGCATTTACACAAATTAACTAAACGATTGGTAACAAAATTTGTTATATATTAAATCAAACCAGTAATTATTAAAAAAGTCCATTAATCACGAAATTAAAAAATAACACACGATCACTATATTTAAAAGATTAAATTTTGAGATAAACACAATATTAATTTGTGGGAATAACGAGTTGCTCAATAATCAAACTAATAATATTGTTTACAATTAGGTTCTTAATAACACATTATTTTTTTCAGACCCAAACATTTTATGAGCATTTTTCGCCCGAAACATTAATTACATACTATAGATGGAAATATTATAATATGATATAAATAAAAAATAAATCATTAATTACATAATTTTCATATAACTCGGCTTTCGGTTTGTGTTTGTTTTAGTCAATTCTTGGTTTCCTTTAAATGCGTTGATAGTAGTTTTGTAGGCAAAGATTATGTAAATAATTATATATAGCCGATTTTGGAATTCTCATTTATCGAGGATTCTTTTTTTTTAACAAATTTATCAGAATCATTGACTTGGATTAGCATATATGTTACATACAAAAAAAAAAAACAATTTTATAGTAATATTTTAAATTTACATGGCGTCAATTTTGGATTTCTCATTTGTGAGGATTCTTATTTATTTTATCATATTTATTAGAACCAACAATTTGGATTGAAATTTATATACACAAAATATAAATTTATATTAATATTTAAATATGTTTTATATTGTAGCAGATTTTGAAAATGAACGATTTTATATGAGACATATATAAATATTTTGTTTAGATATAAACCAATTTCCTTAATCGGTATTCTTTTTGTCAATTGTTTTTAAAAGGAAAATTTTCAAAATTCTGTATAGTAAATCAATTTTTCGTTTTCGTATACACAAAATATAAATCTATATATGCAAAATCTATATCTATATATATAAATTTAATACATAAAAAATTGTCGCACATATAATAGGAAAGTTATCCAACTAAAAGTTGTTCAACTTGAAAATATATATAAAACGTTCTCACACATCCAATTAAAAATTGTTCGGCTTAAAAAAATTAGCGTGAAGTAATGTCTAACCACTAATGTTTTTATATTTTATATCTACTAAATATACATATCTCATAAAATTAGTGTGATGTAATGTTTAATGTTATGTATTATTCGTACATATTTTTGTAGAGATAATTACTAATATTTGTTAGACTTTAATACATATTATTCACATGTAGTATTTTATATATTTTAAACATGTTGTATATATATATATGTGGGTGTTAAATTTTTTTAAAACATGTTTTACTTATAAAATAATTTAGAAAGGTGACCTCACATTTTTTAGGAATAATATAGAATATTTTAGATAATTTTACAAATGTTGTATAACGATTTAGTGTTTTTAGTTATTTAAACATACATGTTTAAGGTTCTTTTAAACAACATAAAAACTATAAAAATTTTAGTGACTATTATTTAGCTAATCAAGTATAATCGATATTAAAATGATAAACTAACAACTCATTTGTCCAACTGCCATATAAATTATTTTATTATAAATAGATCCATTTTAGACTTCTTTTTAAGTTCCAGTAGCACCAATTTCTTCTGATTTTGGGGTTCCATTTAACAGTCAAGGTCAGTCTTTTTGTATAAAAAAATATAGAAATATTAGTGAATACTCTCTCCTATTTTTTTTAAATGTCATTCTAGCCTTTTCAACTATTTGCCAAATAAATGTCATTTTGGATCTTTTGTACATATTTTTCTATTATTACTCTTATTTAGCCAATAAATACATTACGTCTTTTCATATTTACTCTTCATTTTTTATCAAAACATCTATCTCTATCTTCATTAAATAAGGTTATTATTGACAAAAAAATATTCTTAATTAGCGTGCAACTTCTCAAAACGACATATATTAAAAATAGGAGTTAGTATTATTTAACTAATAAAGTATAATCGATGTTAAAATGATATGCTTAGATATAAAAAATTTTGGATTTATTTGTATTTTTTGGTTTGGTTTGGTTAATTTTGAAAAGGTGGTGTGGTTAGTTGATAGTTGGTATATTGAAATAATATTTAAAATAAAATAATTAAAGGTGATTTGGTTTAAAAGTATGAGAGAAATGATTTGAAGTTATTGTTAGTTAAAATTATGCGAGTGGATGAATAGTGAAGTAAAGTTGATGTGGTGTGTAAGAATGATTGATTGATATTATTTAGTTATATTGATAATATTGAAGGTAGTGGGGTTTAGTTAAATATGATTAGATTCTTTTGGATAGATTTGTATTCTAGCATTCTCTAAAACAACAGCTCATTTGTCTGACTGTGTAAGTAATTATCATATTATAAAAAGATCCATCTTATGATTCCATTTAAGTTCCAGAGCACTAGTTACTTCTAATCTTAGGGTTCCATTTAAGATCAGGGTCAGTCTTTATGTGCTTTGTCATAATATTAAAGAAATCGGTTCTTAGCCACAATCAATTATATGTTGTTGTTGTGTAAGTATTAGAATTAGATAGGAGTTGTGCATTAATGACATGTTCTTAAAAATATTTGTTTTCTGATCACGACCAATTGTATGTTGTTGTTACGCGTATAAATAATAGATAAAGAAAAGTTAAGGTCAACCTTTATTGTACGTTGGTGTTCTTACAAAAAACAATTTTTAGTCACAGACATTTATGTTGTTTGTTTCGTATGTAAGTAATAGAAAAAGGTTGAAAATATTAATTTGTGGGGCCACAAGCTGCTCAGTTATTAAACAAATATTGTGGTGTACAAGAAAGTTTTAAATAAATATATTTTTTGCATGAGGAACAATTTATGGTTTGACAATTTTCCTACGAATTATCACTTTTTATTTATTAATGCATTTTAATTTTTAATATTTTCCAAAATAAATACATCTCGTGCATCACACGGGTTGCATACTAGTTTATCAATACATAACACAAATTTATGACAAATAAGCTTATGAAGCACACGAGCCTGCCACTTAGGTGCATTCGGTAATTATATATGAGGAAGGATGATATTGATAATATTAAAAATAGTAGGATTGAACTAGATTTTGAGTATAAACTGAGTACAGATTGAAAAATTAATAAACAAACACCACTAATATGGTATTTAGTACATAGTATAAAGGGTTTATTGCACCAAATCTTCCTGTATTAAACTAAATGTGCGTGTTTTCCCATTGTAATTTAAAAATTGCGTCAACCCTCTTGTATTAAGTGTTGGCCAACAAACGCTCCCCAACTTGTGTCTTGGTGCTAACACCATTACATATTTGTCAAACTCCCCGTTAGGTCCTCGTCATTTGAGTTGAAACACCAGTTTGCCTCTTCAATTTATATCTCCTTCTCCAAAGGGTGAAAACCCTAATTTTCAAAGAACCAAAAAGAAAAAAAAGAAAAAAAACCAGATGTAGATTGAGGGAGCAAATATGTGGCATGTGTGCGTATGGGCTATGGCTAAGGAGTTCTCCTAACAATATGTGCCTCCATCTGCCGCCACCACATGAGTTCTTCCTCGATTTGTACGGTGGCAGGGCTTTCATCAGGGACGGCCCAGACCTCATCGGCGACGGTGATGAACCTGAGGAATCCCAAGGTCTCCTCGATCGAGACGTTGACGTTAGAACAGAAGAGGAGCTCCAACATCTTCGCGAAGGCCCTGCGGTGGAGATGGAGGCGAGCATCATGGACAGTCGCAGCCGACTATGCGCCACCGTCTCCGACGTCACCACCGTGAAAAACCCCATATTCCCGAGTCGCCTCGTCATAGAAAAATCCCTGCATTCCTACCTCTCTTTTTTCCGGCGCCAAGAAGTTCCTAAGCAACATGTCTCTCTACTCTCACACACTCGTGTACTTGTCATTATTATTATTATTGAGTAAAAGTATTTTCACCCCTACCAGTGTCGAAGCAGCTCCAATTCCCTATTTCAGATCCGAGAGCCAAAATAGCGAAAGAGAAGACTATTTCATTGTCGTTGCTTCTTACGATAGACTGGAAATTCCATTGAAACTTGAGGGATGTAACTTGAGATTTTGTTTCATATCTAGGGTTTCGAATGAAATTTGGAGGTGGGACATGGCATCCCGATGGTGCAGTAGAAGAGGGTGGCGATGAACTCGGCGATGATGGCTCGGTAGGAGGATTGGAGCTTGAGCTTGCCGACGTCGAGCAGTGATACAATTTTAAATGTTTGTTCATTTTTTGGATTTT